TGCATTTATAACAGACTTGTAATTCGTTTTTTTTAACAATGCTTCAAAGGCACTAGAACGAACAGCCAAACGAGTACGACACAATGGCTTCAGGTTCATAATGGGACCTCCGTCATTGTTATCAAACAACATCTGCTGCAAGATTTTATCAAAGACAGTAAATTTCATAGGTGAATTCTTTATCATGTTAGCAATTTCAGATACGAGTGGAAGACTGTCCCGGACCAAAGTGCATTGTCTGGTACAGTCTTGCAAACACAAGTTTAAACAATGTGCAAAGCAATGGAGAGAAATTGCTGCGTTGCTTTTTTTCTTTTGCGTTGCTTTCTTCTTTCAATTTAGCCGTAAATGTCCTGTTATATTTGCTGCTCCATCATAAGCTCGGCCACGGCAGTTTTCATTTTTTTCAGTTTTTCGGCAGTCGGCATCTAATTGCTCTAGTTTATATAGACCAAGGAAGTCCTCGTGCACATCATAATTTTCATCAACCCAACGTATACAAATTGATAGCTGCCCTTTGTTTGAAATGTCCCTGAATTCATCCCCTATAATGGCGAAGTATTTTAAATTCTGGATAAGTGATAACAACTTTAAAATCACCGCTCGGCCAAAAAGTTCTATACACTCATTTACTATTATTGGGGACAAGTAGTTTTTGCTCTGGAGCCAATTTTGTAGCCCTTTTACATCTTGAGATCTCAGTAACATCAATTGTTTATGGTTGCCTTCTGTTTCTGTATGACCACGTATTGCAAGACCTTGACGCAGAAGAAACTTTAAGGACAATAGTTCTACTAAAAACATTTGTTGCTTTTCAGCGCAATGACTCCATGAAAAACTGTAGTGATCCTTTGGCAGCACACATTCATTTAGAAAACAGTTAGTATGCGATAGTATCTTAAACAGTTTTATGAATATACTTTTCCATGGAGATGTTTAATTGTGATTGAGTCATTGCAGACTGGAAAATGATAATTCCGCTGTTGATATCATTAAAAAAATTTATCAAACTGTTTAGGAAATGAGAGAAGGGGGGGAGGGGGGGGGCTAAATAAAGTGTCCGCCCCCCCTAGTGTTTAGTTTGGGGGGGGGCAGTTGCCCCCTCTGCCCCCTGTTCCTACGCCACTGGGTAAACATGTTCCATAAGTATAACGAACCAAAGTGTCTGCTAATACAAATATATCGTAACTTGCAATTTATATACCTGACAATTAGAACTAATTTTTAGAATACAATGATTTGTTTTTAACAAAACTTATCATTATAAGATCAAATTTTAAGCCACTTTTTATTGAAACAATACTTTATTTTCAAGAAAAAACAGAAAAATAATGCAAAAATGTATATGAAAAATAATTTTTTTAATGAAAGATATAGGACAATAAATTAAAAACTTAGAACAGATTTATTATCATTAGACTCAAACAATGTAGGTAAAATAAAACTTTATTAGGCAAAATTAAAACACAAAAACTCAGCTGTTTCCATCAGGCATTCATTCATTAAATCATTAAAAAATCATTTAATATCAATTTTAATATATAATTTTACTTTAAACATTTGCAGAAAAAAAATTATAGAACATACTGACTAAAGTTTTCATTAAAAAATTATTTTTTACTAATAATGTTTTTACCAAATTTTGTTGAATACATCTGTTTTAATTTTTTCTTTATTTTTTATCACAAATCTGGAATTGATTTCTAATTGGTTAATCCACGTTAATGTTTTCAAACCATTGGTGTCACAACATACTCGGTGGACTATTGTTAATTTACTTTAAAGAACCCCTAAATTACATTTCTTTAATGCCATTGCAATACGCTAGAGAAGTATCTTTTATTACCAACTCTTAAAAACCAAAATAAATGATACAGATTGTATCTTACCCTAGTCAAAAAGTCCAATAAGATCCTATAAAAATTTAGAATAATAAAAGTTTCAGATTTGAACCTCGTTAGATTAAAACACTTAAGTGTTTATAGTTATGTCCTTTTTTTTTTGTTGTTCCAAAATCCTATAGGTCCTATTGGGCTTTATGGCTAGGGTAGTTATATAAAATAGTTAAAAGTAATAAATAAACTGTTTTCATTTACTGCTAACAAAAAAGGGACTTTATCACCTTTAAACATGTTTACAATCGTTTTGTTATTATTCAGTTTATTATTGAAATCAATTTTTTACTCCTTCATTTCTATTCAATCAAGTAACTTAAATTGTATTGCGATTACTGTGAACTAGGTGTATAAAAAATTCACTTTAAACTCATTTAAAATGATTATAAATATATTTTTAATCATCAAAACATTACCTGGTATGCAGTTTTACTTAAAATTCATTTAATTTATGCAAAGAATAAAAAGGTTTTTTAACCTCAGTATTTTCATCAGAACATAAAGTTGCTTTGAATCAAATTTTTTCTAAGCAAAAGTGTTTCCTGATCTGTTTGTGCTTAAACCTTCGATAAAATTAAGCAGAAGTTTTTATTGTACAGTTAGAGATATTGATCTTAAAATACCTATTAAATTCATTTATCTTTTTAATTTTGTACAGAGATGTAAATTTCTTGTTCTACTTAGATATAGCTGGACAAATAATTCTGGACAAATAAGTCTATTTGTAGGTTTATTTGAAGCATTTTCAAAATATATACATCAAACGCTTAATACAAAATTTATACATTTAAAATTACCTGAACGTCTTTTGAACGTTCAAAATACATCTTTTTTGGACCAAACGCCTACTGAGGTTGCATCAGCTCGAGCAAGTTTAATAATATGCACTTAACAAACTCGATCGTTGGACTTTTTTTTACCTAAAAAATTACTCTTAACCAAAACATTTCCAAGCTTTGAATTCGATTTCGGTCTTTACAAAACATATTATTTCCAAGCTTTGAGTTCGATTTCGGTCTTTACAAAACATATTATTTCCAAGCTTTGAATTCGATTTCGGTCTTTACAAAACATATTATTTCCAAGCTTTGAATTCGATTTCGGTCTTTACAAAACATATTATTTCCAAGCTTTGAATTCGATTTCGGTCTTTACAAAACATGTTATTTCCAAGCTTTGAATTCGATTTCGGTCTTTACAAAACTAGGATCTTTAACGAAGTCGTTAAAATGTGGTTATTTAAAAATATTGGCTTTTATTTTTTTTGTTTTTAATCTAGAAAACTTATGTGAAAGCGAAATAAAACATTTGGCCAAAACGCCATCACAATTTGTTTTATTATGCCAAATTTTTTATGAAGTGACGAAAATAGGATTCGGTCTCGGTTAATTTGAGGTAATTTTTTTGTACCTACTTTCAGCTCTTCCAAATTGACAAAAACTTTTGTAGATTGTCTTGGAGACAAATTTTTGTAACTTTCTTGGAGATAAATTTTGGTAGCTGTCTTGGAGATAAATTTTTGAAGCTGTCTTGGAGATAATAAAACAAGGAAGCCTTTGTACCTCCTTGTTGATCTAGAAAAAATTTAAGCATTTTCAAGTCAACAAATTACCCAATTGTGGTCATTAATTTTTTTCATAACCTCGGAAACATTTGTTTTTTCTTCTTTGAATGTCTTCGAATGTATAATAGGTAAAGATGAGCAGTTGTTGCCATTATTTTTCTCCTGTCTATACACTGATCACTAGATTGGTAGTTTATTAACTTATTTAGTACTTAGTACGATAAATAGTGATGTTAGTTTCCGAAGTTTGCAAGTTTTTTTCTTTAAAACAACATACCAAAATTCATAAAGCTTCTTCTTCTATGTTTAGATCTTTTACCAAGTCACTTAGTATTTTTTGATTAAATGGTTCTGAAAGACTAAATTTGTAATCAGGGTCAAAGACTTGACTTGATGATTGCTGTTAAGGATTACCAGAGAGTTTTTATATTCTGGAATTACCAGAGAGTTTTATGTTCTGGTTTTACCAAAAAGTTTTATATTCTGGGATTACCAGAGAGTTTTATGTTCTGGTTTTACCAAAAAGTTTTTACCAAAACTCTTATGATTTTAACTATGATTTATGAGCAGAAGATAAAGTTGAAACTTTTGTAAAGAAGTTAAATTTTCAAGGTTTATTTAGTTTATTTGCATAACGCAAAAGTAAAGATAGTTTGGAGGTTCCAATAACTATTCTACTACAAACGTACACTAGTCATTAGAGAACAAACATCTCCATCTGGTCCTTTGTGGGTGGATCGCATTGTTTTTTTTTTACTTAAACCATGAAATAAATGCATATGATTTCTATGAATACAAATAATTACTTTTGTGGATTCATAGTAAATACGTATTAAAACCGTTTTAAATATGATTTCCTCACCAACATCAGCAATGTCAGTCATTATCAATTTTTACTATTAATCTTTAGATTTGCTATTCTTTTGTTAGCAAATCATATAAAATACAAACCCATGAAAGCAAATACTTGTATTGAGAGATATCATGTGTACTTACTGATTCAAGCAAAAAAAATTAAAGCCTCCCCCCCTCCCAGTTAGGACCAAACCGATATCTTTGGTCTCAGAGTGTTGTTAGAGTGTTACATTTTGAATAATATTGAAAATATTATTAAAAATATTATTCTGGCGTAGAAAAAGTTATTTTGTAGAATAAAGTTATGTTACATATAATTCATATATATACCTGTATAACTCTTACTATGAACACGCATTTAGGTACATCAGTTATTCTCCTTTATTTTCTATTTATTTCTCAACAAAATTCACTTTAATAGATCAGGCAAAAAAAGGCAATGCGTAAATTTCTTTAATCTGTTCGACTCTAATGTTTAGCTTTTATTAGTTGTAGGATGTCGTACAGTTGAATAACTTTGTTTTATGATGGAAATATTTATTCACGTTGGTTGAAGATCTTAACATCTGTTGTGCAATCAAATTTGTTGTAAAACAATTGTTGAGAAAAATTCCTCAAATGTCGTACAACATTTCAACAGATACTAGAAACTACGCTTAAAATAAATGCAAACATAAACTTATTAATTAAAACAAGCGGGGCAGTTCAAGCAAAACAGTTTGCCGCAACTTTTGCTAATTTCTTATTGATATGTCGGGGTCCAAATATGTGAAATTTTCCATGCTGGCGAGTTACTTACTGGTCTTTAATGTTTAAAAATAAACCATGGTCCAAGTTTTCATCAAATTGTAATTTTTTGACAATCTATTTTTTGCCAGTATTCACTTATACATAAAACTACTATACTATATAAATTAAATTTTAGAACAGAAGTGCCATTAGAATGGCATCTCATTGAATTGCAGGGAGCATTAGAAAGCTTTGAGCAAGATATTGCCGGTTTACATATTGGTGATTTACATTTTGATGAAAAGGTAAAAGTGAGAAAAAAAAGACATTCTTATTTTGATCATTATTTTTATTTGAATTTCCAATAAAAAAAGTATTATTCTGTTTGATGGCAGAGGACTCCAAACATTTATTTTTAAGTGTTATTTTGCTATTCATTTACAATTACAAATTTTTATAAACCCCTAGTTTTACAGTTGTTTTAATGAACATAAGTTGTTCAATGTAGCTTTATCTAAAAAGTTTCAGTGATTATGTAGTCTATAATCTTGAAGCACTGCTTCAAGCAGGGGTAACATTTTTTTTGTAGTTTGGAGAGATACTTTTTGCAGAATGTTAGATTCATTGTGGATTAATATTATTCTTGTTGCCATTGTTATTATTATTATTGTTATTATATGTGATAAAAATATTGTCATGTTATTATTTAACTGTTGTTACTATAGTAATTACTTGTTATAATTGTTTAATATTAATATTTATTTGTTTAATTTATAGCATAATTGTTATTATTATAATTTATTCTCATTAATTTTGCTTTAATATTTTAACTATATAGTTGCTATTAATATCCATTATTATCAATATATGATTGCTTTTATTAACCGAGTCTTTACTTTAGATTAGTATTTATACTAATTGTGATATCCATGAAAAGGCAACCTTTTTTTTTCTTTTAAAGAACAGATATTTTTTGTTGACCACCTTTCATATCCTTCTAATAAATATTATATATTCTTGCAGTATCAATTAGTTTTACCTTAGTTATTGATAATATTGTATTGTTTCAGTATGATCTTGTGATTTTCAGTGTGGTAAGATTTTATTTATTCTGTTAAATAAGTAACTGAGTATTGATAAGCGATTAATTTTTTTTCTCCGAAAAATTATATTCATATCAAACAAACTAAGTTGAGTAAATAAAATGCTTACAAAAATAAGGCGTTTAGTGAATTACGAGCTTAAAGATTTAATTGTGAATATTTGGCATGTTATTTTTAATTCCGTCTATGCTCTTGTTGTCAGATATAGAGATAAAATTCATCCATTTACAAAACGAACCCCTTATACATCTCCAATAAAATTCATTAGGAATAATTCAACCTAACAGCTTTACTTCTGACATACTATACAATCTCCCTATATATAATACTATATAATCTCCCTATATATATATAGCTATAAACTTTGGCCTGTATTTTATTGTAACCTCTCTATGCTTTTAAAATAAACACATAATTACAGTTAATCAATAAATAGACTGTTGGAATTCTATTGAAATAAAAAATGCTTAAATAAAAAATATATATATTTTTGACCAAAATGACAATCAGAAATGCCTTCATAACCCATGTAAAAAATTTTACCCTCAATAGAAATAATCAATTAACTATTTTCTATGCAATCACTCCCAATTAGTTATTCTCCATAACTGAATATTTTTTTTTTTAGTTATTATTAAATTATAGATATATTAGTTTGATTTGACTGAAAAAACAGGAATCTAGTCTATAGCTATTGTGAAACCTACAAATTGTTCCTTTGTATTTTAAAATGTGTTTCCTTGTATTCAAAAATGTGTTCTTTTGTATTCAAAATTGTTTTCCTTTGTATTCAAAAATGTGTTTCTTTGTAATCGAAAATATGTTCATTTGTATTCTAAAATGTGTTTCTTTGTAATTAAAAATGTGTTCATTTGTATTCTAAAATGTGTTCCTTTGTATTCTAAATGGTGTTCCTTTGTATTCAAAAAGGAAAAATTTTCTTTCTTGATTATCACTACTTTTGACATTAATTTCTTTTTCTTGTTGTTTGCCACTTACAGACCATACTCTGCCACTTACAGAGTATGGGGTAAGAGGGTGGATGGCGTGTGTTTTGATACTTGCACTCCTTAGTTACCTCTTCCATAGATGATCACTTCAAATCAAAATTTGAAACTTCCTCATATATATAATAATTGTTGAAAATTTAAGTTACAAAAATTAACAATCAAAAGAGTTTTAATGTTGAATCAAACAAGAAGTCTAAAAACATTTTTTTTAGTTAACAAATTTGGATATTGAAAAATTTACTTGCATAGTTTTCATTTATGCATAATTATTTTCCATTAAAAATTATGATTTAAATTTTTTTAATTTCCAAGTCTTCTCTGACTACTCAGTAGTTTTATTGATAGCTATCTAATATGGAAAGCATATCTGATTTTAAAATATGTTAGTGTACCTATACTTATCTAGAATTTATTGATAAAAATGTGAAGATTATTGGAGCTTACATTAGCTTGATGTTTCATTTTTAATCATTTTTTTGATAAAGACCAAAAAATAAAACTTGATAATTTAGTATTATTATACTTTGTATAAAATAAGATTCCTCAATCAACGGAAAATAATGTATAATGTTGATTTAATTAACAAAATATGTAAGCTACTTTAATTAACAAAATATATAAGCTACATTAATTCAATGATACTTAGTTTGATTAATTTTGTATATTTATAACTTTTGAATAAACTTCTTATATTTTATAAGTTTTATATAATTTTTTTTTTTTTTTTTTTTTAATTTTAAGTTTTTTTAATTTTTTTTAATTTTAAGTTTTTGATTTTTAAGTTGATTTTCTTTCAAAAGTAAAAAACTTTTTAAAGCACTATTAGTTATGCAGCATTTATAAATTTTAAACATAAGTTGTTAATTAATAACTTATTATATATTTATTATAACTATTTTTATAAACTTATTTATTATTCAAAGGAGTCATTACTTTTTAACAATTATCAATTTTGGATTTATAAATCAAGTGAAATAATAATTTTTTCTTTTGTTTCAAATTATACAGTTTTTTTTAATAAAAATGATTTAAATTTATACTGTAATTTTGATTTGGTCATTTTTAAAAATTTGAGTGGTTTTCAAATAAAAGTTTTAAAAAATTGTTTTAACACTGTGTGATATGCAACACTGTGTGATATGAGTATGAAAAAAATGTGTATATCAACGCATTATTAAAGTCAAATTTTGATTACCAGCTTTCCTACCATTTAATTTTATCTTATATATAATATTTAACATTCCAATACATAACATTCTAAATGTAAATTTAATATGCTGACCTATAAAATTTTTCAATATTCTTAAGTATAGGAGTGCTGTGGAGTTATCAAAAGGGGTTTGGAAAAGATGCTAATTTGAACATTGTTGTTAAATCAAAGTTAATTAAATAACGTAATTCCTATAACTCTCTTAACCAGAGTCCAACTTATGATAAAGTAATAATATGTATGTAATTCTATTCTTTAAAAACCAAAATTTGTTATATAAAAATAGTAAAATAACATTTCTATAAAATCATGCACATAAACTTGTGTATGTTTATGATATTCAACTTATATTGAATATTTTTTCAATGAGAAATAGCGGACACTAAATATTTATAGCTAGAGTATAGCGATTCAAAAATCGTTACATATTTTTCAAACTGTTGCAACATTAACACAAATACATATAGAATAATAAAACTGTATACATTTAAATGTAGCCTAAAATATGATAAAAATTATTTTTGTTATAATGGTTTTTCGAGATAATCATAATATTAAGTATGCTTCAAACCGCAGCTTTTAAGTATTAAAATAAATGAATAAATAGAAATGCTTAATTAGATGTTTGAATGCAGGCATTGAAACAAATTCAATCAGATGCAGTTGATTATCGATTAAGGACTCCAGGTAAGAAAGACACAAAAAGATTACTTCTTCCTAGTTTTTAGTATCCAGGAGCTCTAAAAATATAAATAAATGGACTACTAATAGGAAAAAAATTAAGACTTTTAGGTAAGAGGAACAATCATTTTTTTAAATCTGAAATACTTAGGTATAACGGCAGTAAGTACTCCGGGACTCCAGGACTGCGGTCTTAAAAACAATAAATTTTAACTCATTAAATCTCATGAATTTTTTACTTATAGCAGATCATAAGTTAAAAAACATGTTTAAAGCTTCTGGACACTACAGACTTGGAAAAAGTAGAGATATAAAGCCGAAGTTCTTTTATATATATATATATATATATATATATATATATATATATATATATATATATATATATATATATAATATATATATATATATATATATATATATATATATATATATATATATATATATATATATATATATATATATATATATATATATATATATATATATATATATATATATATATATATATATATATATATATATATATATATATATATATATATATATATATATATATATATATATATATATATATATATATATATATATATATATATATATATATATATATATATATATATATATATATATATATATATATATATATATATATATATATATATATATATATATATATATATATATATATATATATATATATATATATATATATATATATATATATATGAAGACTACAGGAAAAAAAGGCACATGTCACAGGTTTCTACTTTTGAGATAAATGAAATTTTGTCTTTGAAAGTTGCTATGTTTTCCCCTGTATGCATTTTCCTAACTTTGATAACTTTCCTAATTTTGCTAACCTTCAGGCTTATGTTTATATAGTAGGGAACATAACTCAAATAATTGGAAATGTGATATGTGCTCTTTTTCCCCTGTGGTCTTCATATATATATATAAAATCATTTATAATAAAATTCAAGTATTGCATTGAAGAGCTTTTTTGAGAACAGTCATCCAGATTTAAGTCCTATCAAACATCAGTTAGATGAATTAAGTAGAAGAATTAGGACACGCAATGCAAAGAATCAGCAATAACTACAATTAGTAATTATTAAAGATTAGGGCTCCATTACTCCAGAAATTACAAAAAAAAAACAGTTTGTATTATGAAAAATAGACTACATGAGGCAATAAAAGCTTCTGGTGAAAACATAAGTTATTAAAGTGGATGAAAACTTTTTTGGGTCAAAAATGTCATATCTTTTATTCCAAAACGCTGTATTTTATTTGTTACTCTAAAAAATTTTTAGAGTAACAAATAAAATTTGTTACTTTAAAAAATCTTTTTGTACAATATTTCTTGAATGTTTTAAATGATATAATTTAGTTTATACCATGCTATATACATGCTTTATACATCTTTGCTAAATAAAAAGTTTTAAATTGTATTTTTAAATTGTTCCAGATAGGTGGATGAAAACATTTTTGACTTTTTTGACTATATATATATATATATATATATATATATATATATATATATATATATATATATATATATATATATATATATATATATATATATATATATATATATATATATATATATTACATGATCTATTATATATTATCTATTATATATCTATTACATGATTACATATCAAAAATTTATTAAAGCAATAAAAATTATTATTGACAAAACTCGTCATTGATATTCTTAATAATTCAACCCGTTTCATTGATATTTGCAAGTTAAATTATTTTAACTCTTATTCAAGATGCCTTTATTTAATGCCTGTTTTTGTTTACATTTTATCATGTTTTATAAATTAATATTTTTATATTTAGGGAAATCCATTTTTGATTGTTGGACATCATGTCTTAACAGGAAAACTAGTCAGTCTGGACAAACCTTTTGCTGTTTTAAAAAAAAATGAGCCTCAACTTAGCAATGTAAAAACAGATGCAATAAATCATGAAAATACTGAAAATTCACAAGTCATTTATAAAGTTGAGGCGTTGATCAAAGAAAAGATAATATTTAGGAATCGGCCACGTCCAATTATAATGAAATCTCTCTCTGCTAAAACTTGAATCTCATTTTGGTATATTTTAGGAGTTCAAAGTTTCTTTATATAAATTTGATTTTTTTTACCAATACTTAGTTGGTTATATCCAATTGAAAGTAAACGTGATTTAAGCTATTATCAGACATGTTGGCGTATGTTGATACAATATATGAATAACCAAGTTAATTCTTATTATTACAGAATTACTTTAATTACATTTTTAAATAACTTATAATAGTTACACAAAATTAAATTTGAAGTTTTGATTTTAGTTTTTGTTGTATGAGATAGTTTTTATTGCGGATTTATTGTATGCACATAATTTATTATAGCGGACTATTTCAATGCGATTGCTTCATTCTGCACAATGTTTTTACTTATGCAGAAAAACTAGCAGCATATAGGGGTTTATATAGGATTGAAGTCAATAAAGTTTCTCCTTATCAATTAATTTTAAATTTCCTTTTGTTGATCAAACTATAAATTTATCAGTGTATTTTTACATTATTTATATTTCTGTACCTCAGAGGTCAGGTATCGTAACTCACAATGGACAAATTTTACAGGAGAGCCAAATGAAGTTACTACACTTCTTTTTCTGTTAAGAAAAAGCTTATTTTATTTGTAAAATTGGTATTTGAAGTTACTTTCTGTAATGCCCACGCTTACGATATTTTACCACTAAAACAAGACAGTCTCCCTGTGACAGTTAAGATAAAAACCTGAAAATTTTTGCAGTTACGATTGTTGACCGCTGGCGTACAAATTTAAATATTTTTCTTATTCATTTTATTTATCTTATCAGAAAAAAACTTTTTAGTGAGGCATTTTTTTTCTAAAAAACATGCAAGCAAATATTTAGCATATCTAAAAATTAATACAACTAAATTTTAGTGCTGAAATTTTGCTGAAATTTTTTGTACGAGTTTTTTCTGATAAACTAATGATTTACATGAGGATTTATATTTTGCAAATTATATACAAACACATATCATTTACAAGAAAAGATTCTTTTCTTAAAGTAATATCTTTTTATTAGAGTTTTTTTTAATCGTAATAAAAGGGAAATAAACATTTCATTAGACGTTTCAAAATAGATGGCATGTTTTATTAGTTAAAAATATATTATTTAGTTTTTTTTATTAATAATTAATTTCTAAAAAAGCAAACGTGTTTGCCAAGCGTGTTCTTTATCTAATTTAAGAACGATGGGAAGCATCTGCAATTTTTTTTTTGTTACTTTTCTAACCTCTTCTGGTTAATTATTAGTTATTTTTTGTAGGTTATATTATCATGTTAAACTATTGATTTAAATAATATCGAAAAATATTTTACGTTCTAAACTTTTATTTTATTACTTACTGTTCAGTAAATAAAATACATCAGGATTTGTATAATGAATACGCTTTAAGCATTATTTTGAATAATTTTGTAATAAAAACAGTATTTAAGATTTATGTTTATTCTGAGTTCATCTCCCATAAGACAAAAAATTAAAAAAAAAAATTGGTAACGCTATATAACATCGTCCGGTGGTACTCAATGCGAAAATCTTGAAAATTTTTTAACTTAATCTTTTATTAAAGTGTTTTTTTTTAAAAATGCTAAAGATCAGCATGATAGGACGAACCAGCTGAAAGTGAGCAAGACACTTGTTACCAACTTCCCTCTAAAAAAACCAATAACCGCTGCATTAATTATTTACAACGCTTCTTCAATCGCGCCAGCTGCTCGGTAATTATCCGTTTTATATATTGTTTACAAACGAAATTCTTTTTTTTTTAAATGTAGCAGACTACTTTAAAACGATGGAGAATTAGCAAGTTGTTATAAGTTCGTTGCAGTGTTTGATAAAGTCAAATAAATGGGTGCGAGTGGAGACAATGTGACGCCACTAACTGTAAGTTTGCTTTCAGAATCCAGTCGTCACCCGTCCTCAGTGACTTAATACGGATTTCTTTTTCCATAAAAAAAGAAAAGTTTAAAATAAATTATTTTGTTCTAAATTTAATAAGGTGAAGAAAAATTATTTGCCTGTATATGCGTATAAGTAGTTGCCATAATAAAGTATAAAAGTTACGTTATTAAAGTATAAAAGTATACGGTGGTTAATACCCTTTAAAAAAATTTCAAAGAAAACTAGTCGTTTTAAGTGGTTTTTCTAGGTAACCTATATAAATCAATAAACAATTTCCATTAAAATAAAAATGTGTATATATTTTTGCCTCAATTATTCGTACTTTTATTCTTAAAAAGACAAAATTTAAACCTGCGATTAAGAAAGATTTGCTTTTTGAATCTAAAACTTTCAGGCTATCATTATTAGGTAGTTACACAGGAGTTAAAGCAGATTCAGAAATTTCCTACACGTTTTACAAAAATTATTACAAAAATTGTAAAAAAAGGCAAAAATTCAGTAGAGGTGTATACAAAAAAAGTTATTAAATGTACATTTTAAAAAAGTTTTGCGTTGGTTCTGCTTTACCTCCTTCACAATACCACTACAATTATTCCCTGAAAATTTCAAATCATTTAGTTTGAATGATTTGAAATTTTCAGGGTATAATTGCAGTGGTATCAGATCGAAAGATATTTAAAATATAAAACTGAAAATAACTAAAAAAAAAAAAAATAGGTTAAAACTAAAAAACAAAGAAAAAAATGTAATAAAATAATTAATAAGCCTCAGCTGGTATAGTTTCACTTTGTTTTTCTTCCTCCACAAATTCTTTCCTAATGGTTCTAAGTTTCTTTCTTCTCTCAGTTCCCCTTTTAGTACACTTTTTATTCATTAATGTTTTATTTTGATTGTCCATTTACGTAGCATTATTATTAATAAAAAAAGTTTTTTTTTGGAAGGTCTGCAGTGTGTTTAGTTACCGCAGAACTTTCTTTTATGTTTTGAAAGTGTTGATTTAGGCATGAGTTAATTTTCTCTAAAATTAAACACCCTTAATTTATTTTTATTTGGAATATATAACAACAATAGCAATAAACAAATAAAAATCAGTTGGCAACTGTAAAGACTGCAAATTAAACAACTCTAATTTCATATGGCAAAAAATGTTATTTTAAAGTATGGATTTTAAATAACTATTGTCTTGCTTTTTCAGCCTCAATAGCACTTTTTCCAATGTAATTTATTTCAATATTGAGCAATCGTTGCTATGGTGTTGCTAAGGGCGTAATTTTTATAGGGTTACATAAAAAGGAATTTTAGTCAACATATTTAATATTTTTATAAATTCCAATAATATATTTGAATTTATTATAACATTTTGCATAACAAAAAGCCAAAAAAAACTTTTTTTGATTTTTTACTAAAAAATAAGGGTATGAACCACCTTATATATGTATATTTTTAAGTAGTTAATGATTGTTTAAATTGAAGTTTCTTATCAGTTATACTTAAAAAATAAATAACCTTTTAAATAAATTAATTGACAATTTAGGATTTACAGTGATTCAATAACATTTTAGATTATTTTGATATTACATTTAAAAAAGAGACTGTAAGAAAAAAGTGTAGTTTTTTTTTAAGAATTATACTTTGCCGCTAACAAAATTTAAAATTGTCTTATTAAACTACAATTGAGAAAATTATCTTCATATATATTTTTCAAAGTTATTTTGACTTATTAACAATTTTGTCGTTGCGCTAATCGCAATTTTTCGAGTTGCTGATGAAATAAAATGAAAAAGAATTTCTTTGGGTGACATTAATGTTGTTATCCCAAGAAATTCTTGGTGAAATTGAAGAAAGAGGGGGTATGATTATGATATAAGTTGTCATTGTGTTTAAAATCTTGAAACCCGGCTATGCGAGAAAAATTTTATATAAAACCGCAGAAGAAAATCTAAAATATATAAATCTATTGTTGTAAAACTTTAAATTTAATATGTTTGAAATCCAATAATTTTATTAGACAACTTTATATCATAAGACAAAACAAAACAAAAAAAAAATAAAGGTTCAACAGATTCAAAGCGTGCTAGTGTTTGCAAAAGCAATCAGTAACACACGTTTAGCATCAAATTTCTTTGCTAGAGAATCAACGAAACGTAGTTTTAAAGTCCCGTATAGGTAATTTAATTTTTTTGTGATTCAAAAGCCTTCTTTACTAAATACTACAATACTAAAAATTATATTGATCTCTTGCGCAATGTAATTGTTTACTTGAATATGAAAAAATTCAACGAGAAATGTTGGTAATTTAAAAATTGCACGAGACTTGAAACTTGACGTTTTGTGTGTCGATTAAGACTTGCATTTATGATCAAGTAGAACTTCGAAGCATGAGTAATAGCAATATTTAATTAACGTTTTTTTAGGTCAAATAGACGATTTCGTTATAAAGGCGAATTGAGAAGCATTTTTTTTTTCAGTCTTTAAATGATAACTCAACTGCTGTAAGTTACACCTAGTTGAGTTTTCATTCGCTTTAAACCAATTAGCACCAATTAGAAAATAAGCCATATAAATATAATAAAAATTACCTTATAAATAAGACTTACCTTCTAATTCATGACAGACATGATTTATAATTAGTATTAATTATTATTATTAGTGAATCTGAAGCAAATAAAATTTAAATCGCAAAAGCGGAAAATAACAACCCTAAATAAATATACAAAACTGATGTTATACTAGAGAAACAAAATTGAAGTTATACTGAGGGCCGTTTGAAAAGGTCTTCCATGGGGGGAAGGGGGGTGTATGCATTTTTTTGCCAACTAGCAACACCAAAAAATAAAATGGTCCTCAATATTTACAATTTGCCTAATATAGTTAAAAACATGCTCAATGTGCCAACTCAAATACTTAAATAACTGTTTTGAGGGCGTGGGGACACCCCGACACCTCCCTTCGAGACGGCCCTGGTTATACTAGAAGAAAAAAATAAGTCGAAAAAGATTTTGGTATTTTTTCTTAAATGATACTGATCGGGGTCGCAAATGCTTTGTAAATAATAAAGCAAATAAACAAATGGGATGAATTAAACATGCATTAGAATATATAGATGAAAGTATTAGCTTATTATACAATTCATTAGTTCGTTCCCAACTTGAGTATGAAGCAGTTATTTGAAAATCCCATTAAAAAGGAAAAATTGATCTACTTAAAGACGTTTAGATCAACCAAAATTTCATGTCTAGTTAGTTATGGTTATGATTCATAACCATAACTAATTAGTCATCAAATTAATGGCTGTGGAGTCGGAGTTGCGAACATTTTCAGCGGAGTTGCGACATTTTCAGCGGAATCGGAGTTGCTAAACAAAATCGCGACTCCGACTCCAATAGTAAAACTTTTTGGTATTGCACGTACATGTACAAAACATTCAATTAACCTTATGTTCATACTAAACTTCAAAAAACGTTTCATAAATTTGTTAAAAAATAATTTTTTAACTTATTGCGTAAAATTTTTTTAAGAATTTAAAGAGTCGGAGTTGGAGTCGGAGTTGTATTCAAAAAATTTCAACTACTGGAGTCGGAGTCGGAGTCGTTACATTTTTTTTACGACTCCACACCCCTGGTTATGAAGAAAGAAATTTAAAACTAATATTACTCTCATTTGAAAAAGTAAACTTAAAAAAGTAAAAGGGGTGATTTATTCCAAATTTCAAATTAATAAAACAAACTGAGGAAAAAAATATGCATCACATAATTGAATATTTTAACACTGATGGTCGAGCAAGATATCATAAATTAAAAAAACAGAAGACAATAAAAACACACAATAACTTCAAATTAACACATTAATTTTTTTTAAACTTTTTTTAATTTCACTCTTTTATATATTATTGGAAATTGTAAAATTTTTTTTATTTTTTATTTTATTTTCACGAAGGGGCTTGATGATAAGACATTTTGTCTTCTACTTGCCCCAGTCAGCTTGCATTTGTATAAATTTATTTGAATGTAAGGTTAACATTGTAAAATGTGTCAAATGACGAAAAATAAAAAAAAAAAAAAAACAAACAAAAAAAAAACACAATTAATAAAGCAATTAGACACAATTTTTCTCTTATAGAGTTATAAATGACTGAGTTGTACTAACTCAAGAAATCATCAACAAACGTTAAGAACCACATTGATAAACAATTCAAATTTTAAATTTTAAATCTCAGATCTTGAATATTGTTTTATACGTTGTTAATATTTCTAGCGGTTATTGACTGAAATTCTAAGTAACTTCACTTTCAACTCATATAAGTGACGTCATTTCTATTTTGTTTTTACTTAACTACCAAAGTTTTGTAAAAAAGATAATTTTTAAGTTTGTTAAAATTAGTTTCTAAATATTGCAATTTATTTTAGATAAATAACAACATTAAAAACGACAACTTGTTTTGAAAATTTATTGATAACTAGTAACACTAC